TTGAAAGATCAATTGATGCGACAAATCAATCCCCTCACTATCACCAGGCCGGTAAGTGACAGGGACCAAGGAATGCAACGTTATAATCATGGTAGTGATGATCGAAAAGAAAACTAGCCTTATGACTAAGGTAAAAATAATTATTAGGCATACAATAGTAATGATTTTTTCAAGTCAATGTTTAATTTTTTTACCAAACAGGTGGATAAACTTTCAGTTGCTCGCCGAGCATGCTTCAACAGAAAATGTTTGTACATAACACCAGCAAAAGGGGTTAGAATTAATCGGGGGTAGAGGTCGGGGCGATATAAAGGAATTCACGTCGGCCTATGTATAAAATTATCAACTAATTGTCCTCTGTAAGCCAATATCCTGACGAGAAGTAGAATAATTTTGTTACAGTTGGTGGTAGCCGGCGTTTATGCAATGTTCCGAATTGGTTATCCATCCCTTATATGGAGAGAGAGAGATTACGAATTGTCAACCAGTACTTGCCCTTACAGAATCGGTCACAAGATCAAAGGTGAATTCTTATCATAAGCTCAGCGAACGATTAATAAGAAATACTACTACCCTTTGGGACTGGTCAGAAAGCGCGTTTGACAAAGGTAACATCCTTTGCAAGCAAACCTTTGAAAATTACCGGTGAGCAGTAGGTTCAATGATATGGTGAGCATGAAAAGATAGGTTTTACTCTCACATGCGGAAGACCTTTTACAGAGGGTAATCGAGCAACGTAAGACGTTACGTTTCTCACCGCAAATAATCTTTTGGAAACACGCTTTCAATCCATTCGAGGTATTTGGACAGAAATACACCAAATTATCTGAACTTCCTCTCCCGGTTTAAAGGCGAGTCAGCGATGAGACAAATGGGAATATTTGCCGCACTGTTGCGGGTTATGGAACTTCAATTGATTGTTAGCAGTCTCTTGATGCGTTTCATAGATTTCGACCATTCTCCAACCGAGGAGACAGAGTGTTAAAGCAGAAGTGTTGTAAATTTTAGAAAAATAAATAAGTGTGTGATTCATATATATTCTTATGAAAAAGAAGTGAAAACGTACCGGTTAAATGTGAGTACTGAGCGCTAAAGTAAAGCACAAATGAACCGAGCCATGGGCACTGATTTCGGTTGTTCGGTCACCTGGAAACATCTAACTAACCGGAATGTCCGATTTTACGATGCGGAAATTTTTCACATTTTGCGATTGCGCATCAACATACAGATTGCTTTTCCCAAGTCATTCTTTCTGAATGTTAACAATTGTTTGTTCTTCAATAACAAAACGTTGGCGATAAAGTTTAGAAGTAACTATAACATTAACCATAATACACTAAATTTTTAACAATGCACTCCCGGATAAAATCGAATCCGGATTATAATTCCACATTCCTGTGATCCCACCAGAATCTTCTCACTATCATTACTATCCATAATTGTTTTCCAGCATGTGACAGTTGATGCTCTGGTTCAATTGTCAACCTACCTGACTGAAACGGGATATTCGCAACTGGCATTCCCAGTCCTACTTCTACAGGAATATTTGACCAGACCGTGTATCTTAAGTCAGGCAAATTTAAGCTGTGCCTCGTCTACGTCTAACCTGCTTGTTCGTTTAAAGTAAGTGATTGCACTAAACTAACTCTATTGAAGGTAGTTTCCAGTTATGAACATTTTTAAAAATTTCATGCCATGCATGTCCAATCTGGAAACGTTTCACATCGCGATCAAGCTCCCATTATCTCCTCATGTGATAGTCACTAACAGTAAATCTATGATTCCTGTGATTGTAGAGTTGAAGTGGACTGTTATTGAATAAGATTTTGAAATCAAACCGAGTAACGATGATCACGTCGAACTTGACAGTTTCAAACAGTCGCAAGGTTCAAATTCTCAACTCATTCTTCTGTAAAACTTTCTTTTTTCTTATCCATTTCATCAACAAAAGAAGATATATGTGGGTAGAATTGATATTGGTCATCAATTTCGCATTCTCTCATTCAGCTATAAACACACTTTTGTATGGTCATGTAAACCGAAGAAACATAAGAGTTGAAATGAGTCATTTGAACAAGGTGGTGGACAAGTGAATTGCATGATTTGTGTTTGGTTAGGGTTTGAGATCAAGTTAGGTGACAAAATTTGGTATGGAAGTGAACTGGCTCTAACGATTTGGTGAATGTGGTGTACTAGGGAGGGGGAGGGAAGGTCATGTCATGTCAAGTTTGACATCATCACTACCACGACAAAAACAGTTGTGTCACAAATGTTTTTTGAACACATAATTAGGGTTTCAAACGATGAATAATAATCGCTTCTAAGAATCGCAAAGTCTGTGCACTTCGAGGCCTCGCCTGATTCTTCTGTTTTCTTTCGAAAAACATGCTATTTCATGGTGAATGTTGACGTGTACAGAGCACATGAAGCACGAAGCAGAAAACTCAGGAAGCACTGTATAGCTGTTTTGAACTGATTGGGTCTCAGTGGTTGTGTGAATCCGTCGACCGTACTGAGGATCGAACCCGGGACCTCACAAGTAGAACACAAGAAAATCCTTCAGTACTGTCATGTTAGGTTGGGAATGTTTTCACCCGAGTTATAACCCTGGAGGCCGGTGCCAAAACCGGCGCATGGTGCATGGTTAATGGTTGTAACAACTGAACTGAACTGAACTGGAGGCCGGTGCTGAGATGCGCATGTTGTGGTGTCCGCAACAAGCCTGCAAAGATAAGTTGTGTTTTATCGTGTGTGAAAGGAAAGTGAAACATGGTCTGATTAGCTGCCAGACGATCAAGAAGTTAGTATGCTTGCGTTCTGCTTGTGAGGTCGTGCTCACATCCTCAGTCAGGTCGATGGATTCCCACTGGTAGTGAGACGTAAGCAGATTGG